AGCCAGGGCAAATAGTTGCTGTTGGCCGTGGGATAGACCCAACTCAGCGAAGTCAGCGTCCAATCCACCGCGAGACTTGATGACATCGTCCCAAAGAAAGGTCTTCTCCAGTGCCTCCACAAGTGCTTTGTCTCCTGATTCTCCATTGAAGCTTGCGTTCGGGTCAAGGTTGGTTCGGACGCTCCCAGGAAGGGTCACTGGATCTTGAGGCAGAGTGATGAGATATGGTTGGACTGCCTTGCGCGAGAGAGAACAGAGATCGACATTATCGACTTGGATGGATCCCGACGGTGTTTCGAGAAGACGAAGGAGAGTGAGAAGCAGAGATGTTTTGCCGCTATATTGATCAGCGTGAGTAGGCGTTGCCGCAATCGATATATACAAAGAGCTGACTTACCTTCCTGTGCGTCCACATATGCCGACCTTCTGGCCAGGCTTGATGCTCAGGGAAAGTTCGCGGAGAACATTCTCATCATCGGTCCTTCGCAATAATGAGTACAAAACCATTTCACAAAATATATGGCATGAAATGGGGGAAATACTTGTATCTAGCGTCTATTCTCTTGAAGTCGATTGCACCAGAAGATGGCCACCCTTGAGGGACTGGAGGCAGTCTTTGGGCATCGACGCCGTCTTCTTGAGGACTATCGCGGACAAAGTCACGCAGTCGAGCGATTGCGCCGAGGGAAGTCTCCAAGTTTGTCCAAGAACTGATCAGCCGCGACAAGCTGGAGTTCAGGCCCATGAGACTAACCATGGATAGACCAATGGCACCACCGCTCGTAGTGTTGGTGAGTTTGACAGCGAAGGCAACCTAGGAATGGTCAGGACGTTCAAAAACTGCAGAACAGAAGCGGCATTCTCACCAGAACGGTGGCGATCACCGCCACGAATAGGTCCAACATAACTGCTAACCATCTTTGAATACAAAACAGGAGGTAGTAAGGTCTCTGGGAAATGTCAAGTAGACGAAGCTGTTCTTTGACGAACTCCTGCTGCCATCCAAAGGCACGGATTGTCACAACACCGTTGAGAGTCTCGGTAAAGTGAGTGTAGAGCGGGGACTTGGACTCAAGATCTAGATGACGCAACTGCCGCGATGTCTTGAGATAGAACTTCTGCAGGAGGTACAAGGGCAAGACACAAAATGGGATAATGGCTGCAAAGTACTGAGCACCTGAGGCGATAAGTGCTACAGAAGCAATAGCAACCAGAGTGTCGAGCACAACCTCGAAAAAGGCCGTAGGCAGAGTCTGGTCGACAAGCGTCATGTCCTGACTGAAGCGGTTGAGAGTGACGCCGCTGTCCACTGTTGTGAAGAACCACAGAGGCGCCTTGAGAACGGAGTCTAGAAGTTGCCAGTGAAGCCTTGAGGCTGAGTGAGGGATGACGACAACGAAAAACAGCCCAATGGCCAGTCCTGAGAACAGGACGGTTCCGATGCAAAATGCGAGATAGGCACCGAAATAAGCATCGCGGCTTCCATCGTTGGTTCCACGCTCGGTCCAAATTCTAAGCCAGATATTTGGCATGAAGCCCAGAAAGATGTACGTGGCCGCAGCAAGAATGAATGTGATGGTTAGGATCGGGCCTATGGATCGAAGGTAGAATTTGTAGAGCGAGAAGTCGCCTGATTGCCGCTGAGTAGCGTCTTCGTCCTTGGTTTCTGGTGTCTTGGCCGCCGCACTTACATCTTCATCCTGTTGAATGCTATCATCAGGCTGAGGCTGAACATCGACGTCCTTGAATGCCGTGGCAATACTGATTGAGGGTCCTGCTTGTTGAACAGACCCCGTCTTACTAAGAAGTATAACGTTGTCGGCAATTGTCTTTCGTGGACCTGGTGGAATCACGTTAGTGCACGCGCTCATGGGACGACAACAATGGTGGTGGTTGTCGACGGTGAGCAGGCAAGAAGACATACCGGCGGGGGTGGTGTGTATCACAGTGGTATCACCTTTCCGCAGAAGACCCTCCTCACCAAGTAAGCGGCTGAAAACTTTCGTTCGGGTTTCAGCATTGAGAGCACTAAAGGGGTCATCTAGAAGAACGATAGACCGTCTCGCAAAGACAGCTCTCGCAAGCGCCTGGTTAAGACATTCTTAGTAAACAGGGTTCTTCACTTGGGAGTTAGCGTACTTACAACTCTTTGCTTCTGCCCACCACTGAGTGTAATGCCTCCGCTACCAACAAGTGTGTCGTCTCCCTTTGGCAATCTAGCAATGTCTTGCCTCAGGTCGCAAGCGAAAACGACGCGGCCGTACCATTCGTCATCAAATCGCTGCTGGCCAACGATGTTGTCCTTGATGGAAATATTCCGTAGCCAAGCTGACTGTTCGCAGAAAGCAACCGACATATTGGGCTGTGCAAACCGGATGCTACCACTGATTAAAGGAAGTTCTCCAAGAATGGTCTTCAGTAAGGTGGACTTTCCACATCCCACGACGCCAGTGACCTCTGTGTATTTGGCTCCTGGAATGGACAGCATGATATCTCGAAGGATCGGTTCGTCTTTTCCCTCGACGCCGACAGTCACGTTCTCGAGACTAATAGCAACATCGGACTTCTCTGAAGGTTGTCGGGAACGCATCTCCTTCATCTCTATGACGCGGTGTTTTGAGGTCGTGTGCGACGTGGTATTAGGGATCGAAGCTGTGCTCACGGTAGCTTTTCTCTCAGCGGCTTTAGTGTCTTGCACGTATTCGGGTCTGCGCTCGTCTTGTACGAGGACTTCTTGGATGCGACCGAAACAGGCGACAGAGGACACAAAAGTCGGGTAAGAGCCAATGAGGTTAGCCAAGGGTGTAGACACCAAGGCCACAATGGCGAGAGATGTGAAGGCCTGGGATATGGTGAAACCATCCGCCCGGGTCCAGAAGACTGCAGCCGTCACGACCACGGCCGGGGTCATCTGATCTGAGAGATTCGCTGTTGGAAGTGTCAGATGTGAGTGAATGGTGGAGTGTGTGAAGCCGGGGACTCACAAATGAGAATGATCCGTACGATAAACATCCTGAACTTCTTAGACATGTCAAGTTCCGCAACCCTGAGTTTCTGTACCATGGTGGCAAAGTAGTCGGTGAGACCCATCATCTTGATACCCTTGATCTGAGCAAGCATTGAAGAAGTTGTGGAAACGCGTTCCTGGACACCCTCGTTCCACATCATCCTGGCAGGACCAATGCCATCAGTGGCCCTCTCTGTGATAAAGCTGCAAACTGTTCATCTGTCAGTCACAGAGTCGAAAAGGCATAGGGGAGACATAAAGACCACTTACCAACGGCTGGAATCATAACTACAAAGCAGGCGGCGCCGATTTGCAAATTCAGTAGATAGACAGCTATGCCTAGCTCGAGCACGCTAGCCCATATCTCATGCAGATCTTTGACTCCGCTAGCGATTGCGTCAATGTCGGTGCTCATGAGAGTAACAGCCTTTCCTTGGCTAGCTGTTGCGGCGTCCAGTCCAAGAGACTTTCTAAAGATAATAGAAACCAGTCCGCCATGAAGCGTGGTCGTGAGTTGGTACACGGCATGGTTGTAAACGCCTTTGGAGATCTAAGAAATCAGTACACCACTCATTACAATGGGAGAGAAGGTGGGGACACTGACTGCTAGTCCCAAATAAACCAGCAAAGCAGCTCCAATAAGTCCTCCTGCAACTTCGCGAGACTGCATGTCTCTAGAGTCCCCCACGAACTCAATGATCCTCTTGATCAGAAAAGGTTGGGAAAAGTTAAAAGCTGCTAGACACAATCGCGGAAGAACCGGGGCCAGGTAGCCCGTTCTGAAAGCGGAGAGCGTGGATTTGAGTAAGGCATGTTTGGCAGATCTGTCGCTACTATCCCACGAGGAGCTCAGCTTAGACAGCAGCCGAACGGAGTCAAACTTTCGATCGATTTTTCCGAGATCTTCAACATGTAGCGTGCCCCTGGAACCTAGGAGAAACAAAGGGTTCAACCAGCCGAATACAGATCTGTTGATTGGCCCACTGATCTCTTCTTTTGATGAAGTCTCCGGTAAACCTGGCTTTGGTATTTCTTCCAGCAAGACAAGAAGAAGCTTCATGGCCAGAGACACTGCTAACACAGCACCAATTCTTCCACTCGTGCTGGGCTGTTGCAGAAAGAGCGATCTCGCTTGAGCCATGTCCACCAAGGCTGAGACGAAAAGATAGATGCTGAGGAGCTTGGACGGCCTAGTTGAGCGGCCATGCTCCACATAGATCAAGCCGATGAGAAGTATCGAGTCGACCAGGGCCAGAATGGCGGCTGCTAACGACGCTGGAGTCCTGATCGTGGTCGGTAGTGCCCATAATGCCAAGAGAGTCGCTTGAAGGGAGAGGTGGATTGTGCTAGTAGCCTAGAGGGAGATCTTAGATGTGATTCTGCAAGTTCGTCGTGGTCATGTCACGTACAAGCTTTGCCAAGAGAAGCCATCCGCTGCGCGGGATCGAATGTCTCCGCAACAGCCATGTGACCCGGCAGGGAAGGATCGCCAAGAAGATCGCGGAGGGGATGGTGGACAGAATTGCTTGTTCAAAATAAAGCGTGAAGTCGAATCGTCCTGTCAATTGCGGCCCTAAGGCATCGAAATGCGCCGATGCGTTCATCACAGCGCGGTTGTTGACGTCGGCAACACAGCACAGCAGTTAAGAATGCGCAGAGGTAGGAAAAGGTGAAAGAGAAAGGCCAAACAAGTGTTCCGCCGTGGTGTGAGCACAGATAGCCCTTGCTGAAGTACCAACACGAAATGCAGGGCACGCCTGAGCCGAGACGGGGAGCCTCGATCCCAGCTTCCTAGCTGGGCTAGTCTGGACAGGGTCTATGAACGTTGTGCAAGGGGTGCAGGGATGTGATGCCCGCCTTGGTAGACTTCACATTTAATTGGTTCAGTGCTACGACCTTCACTGCAACTTCTTCATTAATGAATAGGTGTCACGGGAATAATCGGATAAAGCTGAGATGAAGAGCTTTCCTAGGTATGATGACTGCCTAAAATCTATTCATACAAACAAGTCCACGGGTCGTCAATTCCACACTTTCCGAGCTCGGGACCTTTGCCAAAGTCTTTGAACGGGCCTGGGACGTGGTACTGGGTAGCCCGCTCCTGAATCTGTCGATAAAACTGCGTGTAAGTCATGGCTTCGTTTCTATGGGCGGCTGCACTCACCTTGCCGAAAGTACGACACTCGTGCACAACAGTAGAGCGAGCCCGCACATCGCCATATCATGGACTGTACTGGAAAACGCTCGGGACGACATCTCCGATGCACTGAATTGCTGCTTGAGTGAGTCTTGCAATGGTCTAGATGCATAATACCCAGGTGATCGCCCCCGCGATCCTCAAGCGGCTTCAGGCGATTCGTACAGGAGATATGGATTATGTGTGCTGTTCCATTGTGGTTCGAGGAAATAGTAGAGCCCCTTTCGGATGTTATCCATACAATGTAGATCGTGGAAGACATTCAGAACGACTAGATATCCGCTTCCTTTAGATTCAAGCTTGGGTGCGGTCTTATTCGGTAGCATTCGTGCCTTTTCTTCTGCGATGTGTGTGAACACATCTGCGCAGAAAGACTTGTCAGCTCGGTCTCAAGAAAATCAAATATCGTTTTCTCACTTTCATACAAGCCCTGCCAAGCTTGATTGGTTTCATGGAAGGTCTTCCCTGAAAGTCGGTCTCGCCCCCTTCAACTGAGCTCGCAAATTTGGTGAGCTGGTACTCCACAGCATCATTGGCTGGAGCTACAAGACATTAGATACACTCAGAAAAGTCTAATAGCGCGAATAGAGTTACAATAGAGGGCTATGGCACTCTTGGCTGAGCTCGACTGCGGCGAGGTTGCTGCCCTCGGTAGCTCAGATTTGTAGGATAAATGGCCGAGTAGTCGTACATTCAGCACGAGCGACAAGCCAAGCCCAAGCACGAGGACCCAGACTCGTGGTACATCGAACACGGAGACCAAGACGCCGTCGCGGCTACAACGACCGCGGGCGGCGAGGACCCGACAAACACATCCCCCACGCCGCCGGGTCCCACCATGTCGGGCTCACCCGCGAACTGTCACAAATGGGCTCTCGTGACGGACGGCTTGTCATGCACTGACATGGCATCCGAGGCCGGAATCTCTCTCGCGCAGTTCCTGGCCTGGAACCCGGCCGTGTCCTCGGACTGCCTGACGAACTACTGGCTGGGCGAGGCGTATTGCGTCGGCGTTTCTGGCGAGTCTACCCCCGCGCCGGCGACGACCACGGCGGTGGCGACGACGACGTCGGTGACGCCTCCTGGGCCTACCATGGGAGGCGAGCCGGACAACTGCAACAAATGGGCTCTGGTGACGGACGGTCTGACCTGCACGGATATGGCGAGCCAGGCGGGGATCACGTTGAGTCAGTTTTTGGCTTGGAACCCGGCTGTGAGCAGCGATTGTTTGACAAATTATTGGCTGGGAGAGGCGTATTGCGTCGGTGTTAGTGGCTAGGAGTGGAAGGGGGATTCATACTGCTGGCTGGTGACAAGTTCAAGTTTTTGCTTTGATATTTGGTACTTTACATACTTACAGATAAGCTTCTTTTCTTTGTGTGTTTGCCTGTAGCTGTGGGCACGATTGTTGGCCCTTTGTTGAGAAAAAGAGACAAAAAGACTTTAATCCTGTCGTATCAAGTGAGTAGCATGGCTGATGAATGCCCTGCCCTGCCCTGTTGATGCTTTAATCAAAGATGTCCGCCTCCATCTCCCTCTCCCCGACAAACTCAAACGCTTCCCACTCCATGTCCTCCCCGTCTCCGCCCACAAGCTCCTCAAACGCCCTGATGACTTCCTCCCCCGGCCTCCAGTCCTCGCCGACCTGCCATGTCACCTTCCCTTTCCCATCTCCATCAGGCGCATCGTATCTCACACCCCATCGGAACATGACTGTCCGGTCCTCATCCTCCGAAGGAGGCACCTCGTCGCTCCCTTCATACTCTTCGGCCCGATCCTTGGAAGGCCGCCACTGAAGCCACGTAAACATCTCGGCGTCTTGGAGGGAGGGCGTGTCTTGTCGCCGTAGAGACGAGACAAACGCCAGGAGCAGAGGGTCTATGCGCTCCGCGATAGGAAGTATGCGGAACATGTCTGGCCGGCGTTCGAGGCACATCTCGTCGTCGCCCTCGAATTCGTCCTCTTCGCGAGACATCAGGGCGTGCGTCTCCTCGACGTCTTCCGAGCCGGGCGGGTAGTGCTCTTCTCTCGTGACGGCGTAGCCCGTGGGGTAGGGATCTTCGCCTCTAGGACCGGAGAAGTACCACCTTCCGTCGGGCGCGCAAGGGTGGAACTCCACTCTGAGGTGCCGCATGTGCGGCCAAGACGAGGAACGGAAAAGGTCGGGGGTGATGAGGGCGCGGATGTTCAGTTCCGCCAGGCAACTGCCCAGGTCCCGCAGGCCGAGAGACACGGGGTCCTTGCCTTCAAACTCTGAGGGCGACGATGGCGAGGCACCGACCAGGTCGGGCATGTGCACTGCTTGATCTGCGTCGCCGCCGTAGGGGTTGAGCCTCCAGAACCAGAGACGGGCTTTGATGAGGGAAGATGGCAGCGAGGGCATGAGTTGTCGCACCCCGCGGCCGAACTCGACGCGGGCATCCCGCCAAGGACCCTCCAAGGGACGGGAGAATATGCGCAGCGCCTGAGAAGAGAAGGCGAGGGGGAGGCGCTCCCACAGCCAGGGGCAGTCGAGCTCGCGGAGATGGGGGAGGCGAGCGGCGAGCTCGAGGGGCACGCGCGGGGAGACGGGGCGCATGTGGACGAAGTGCATGTCCGGCTCGTTGGAGCTGCTGGGGGCGGGCAAGACGCGAAGTCGGGTAACATAGCTGAGGAGGGGCAGGGTGTCTCGATCCTGGACAGTGAGGCGGCGGTTGTGGAATGTGCGGTGCCAGCAGTCGGGGTAGATGTCGTAGGACTGGTTGAGGATGCGGATGGCGGCGTGCAGGCCGCCGTCTTCAGGTTTCCGGATGAAGTCCGTCTCGTCGGGGGATTGCTCGTCTGCCATGTTCTCTAGAGTGTGCAGGGCGTTGAAGAAGGCGTGCACTTGGGCCGAAAAGTGGGCGTTGACGGCCTCGAAGTCGTCGGACGGCTCCATACATGCGACGGGCGCGCCAGCCCGGTTGAGAAGAAGAGGCATTTCCGCGTCGAGATCGCAATCGCGCAGGCCGACGTAGACGCCGTTGCGGCGGCCGGTGGTAAGGAGACGATCCAGCATTGCATCCTGGGAGGGCGGCGTGGCTTGGATGCGTGGGGATGCCATCGTGAAAACCGCGCTGCAATGACTTACAGGTGTTGTGTGTGGTGTTGATGGAGTCAAGTTGGGTAGTGTAGAGGAGGAACCGATTACCTTGACAGTTACAAGTAGGATTGCTACCTGAGGTATCAGCGCATAACACGATAATGAGAAACCGATTGGCTCACAATTGTAAGAATGTAACGCTGGTGGTGCAACGGAAGCGGCCAGGAAGAGACATTGAATTCACGCCCATGAGACAAACCGGGGTCTAGGTTGTGATCCATGCAATCCGTCCGGACGCGTGTCCAGAAAGAAGAATTTGTTTCTCGTAAGATGCAGACCAAACACTTCGAGAGCCTTTTCAGGGGAATATTAGTTGGCAAGAGAGCGTCGGATGTTCTCTTTTCACTTATCTTGTCCTGACTCCACGGGTTGAGTTGCCTCTTCTATTCTGCTGAAAGTTTGATAAGTACTAAATTGATACTAGTTCGTCTTTGATGGCTTGATTACGTACTGAATGTGGTACGACAACGTTATGTTTCCTCAACTGCTGAAAAGCCTACCTATCAATGTGGTAATACTACATTGTTGAGTTACGCCCTGTTGGATCTAACGGTAGTGCCTCAGAAGATTGAGAGAGACTCTCCTTCTAGATAACTCAAACTCTATGCTTGATCACGCCGAGCTGCAATTTCAAGGCGGAGAATGCTGTTTAGAAAAACCGATCTTACCCTGAAACCTTCCTTAGGGTATTGTTATTGATGGTTTTGGGAAAGAGAGAGACGCCTTTGAGCCTAGATTGGGACGGCATTCTTTTGTTGGAGGAAAAGCTTGTCCTATTGGGAATCGTCCAGACTTGGAAGGCAAAGCAGGAGCAACTGAAGTATCTCTATATGCCGAGAAAAGAAAAAGGATAATGGTTAAGTGCACGAATTGACTACAGGTCTGTTGTGAAAACTGATGTTCGTTGAAGCGAGGCACGCCATAGCGGCATTTGAGCACACAAATAGGAAGTTCAGCAGTGAATTTGACCAGAGCGGAGTCTAGACTTCGATTCTCTCAAAGCGCGGTCGGTCTCCTGCCGCCTTTCAGCGTGCTACCCTTTAAAGTCATGCTCCTTGGTATGCCCTCCCTCCATCATGTCTCTGCTCTTCAACCTTCATTCTTTTTCGCCCAGGCTACGCGGTACACCCCATCACAATTCTTTGCGTAAGCACATTCAAAATTGCGTTGTCCATATCTATGTCGCGGTCAGCAACTGAGTGTTTGTTTGTCCAGAACGACTCCCTCGAAGTCTCTCGCTTCACAATGGCGTCGGAAGACGAGCAGATCTGTGTCGATGCGGCATTCCTGAATGAGGAGCTCTCAAATCTCAACATTGGAGGTCCAGATGCAGAGTCGGCATCATCAGATGAGAGCGAGGCCTCAGGTGATGTCAACGTCTTCGATCCCACCCAGTGTCTTTTCTGCAATTATCATAGTGAGAACTTGAACGAAAAGCTTGATCATATGCGAAAGCGACACGGCATGATCATTCCCCATCTTGAGAGTTTGATAGTCGACCTTGAGACACTAGTCAAGTACCTCCATCTCGTAATCTACGAGTACACCGAATGTCTCTATTGTGGGTCTATCCAGAATACTCCACAAGCCGCGCAACAACATATGACTGGGAAGGGACACTGCAAAATCGATGCTGAAAAGGAGAACTCCGAGTTCAAAGACTTCTACGATTTCGAATACAACGTCGACTCAGATGGCAGCCGTTTTGGTGATTCTGGACGCGCTGACTTTGTTGGCGTGGAAGATGAAACACGGCGCTTACCTTCGGGGAAGACGGTATCCCATCGGAAGGCGAAGAAAGTTCGTGGTCACCGAGGGTTGAAGTCGGGAGAAGAAATCGACAGTTTCTCTCTTTTTAAAGAAGGAGAGCGCCCCAATAGCCTGAGCGATGCCACGGCTTTGATGATCAACAATGGGAAAACCAAAGATCTGGTTGTGTCTCATAAGAGCAATGACCTGTTTGACAGGCAACTGGCAACAATGAGGCAAGGAGATCGATTGGCTCTTGCGAATTTGCCTCTTCCGCAGCAGAGAACGCTGGTTGCTTAGGCAAAGAAGCAACAAGAGATGTGGAATCGCTTCGAAAACGACCAAGCAATCAAACTCCAGTGTCAAGCCAAAGCAAAATGAGACGTACCTACTGTTCAGCAATATGATATGTGACCAAGATGCAAGGAATATTGGAATATCCTCTATTCTCCACCGCTCAATATACAAGAAGGGCCTTCCCGGCTAGATGTCTTGTTCACAGGTGTACTACACAAGAAGGTGGGTGCCTTGAAAAACGCCCAGTGTCATTAATGGGGTAGACTTCGAACAACCTGAGCAAACACATGTCTGGCCGGCGCTAACCACAAGTATTATCTTTAAGATACAAGTGGCAATGAGGCGTATGAATATCGCATTTGTGTATCTGAGTCCTTGGACAAATAACGGCGCACTAGCCGCAATTGTATATCTGAGATAATTCATTGACAGCACAAGACGTGGGGAGCCTAAGCCAATTACCCCTAGGCAAAGGTATGGAGGTATTGATGTCACGTCGTTACGTTTAAATCCTAGTTCAAATACATTTGACGGTCCAAGTATCTTTTTGTCGTACAACATTGGCCTCGGATCAGACGCGAAAACCGTTCTTCGTATCGAAATATTTTTGGAAACTGGGTGGCCATACTTCAGTACACCCACTAGGTGGGTGCAGCGCCGTCCTCATCAGACTCCCGCACCAATGAAACTCAAGGCGAAGTCAGGAGATTTTCTCCCAAACTGTTGGTTTCTGCAGCGGGACTCTTTGCACGATCCACTGGTTCACACGATCAGTCTCCGCCAATAAGTAGACCTTCATCAGGAACGCCCCAACAAATTGAGCCGTTTGAGCCAAACAAACAAATTCTACAGCCTCAAATTGACCGGAGGCGGGGTCCGCGGCACTTGAGACCACTTCACGGACCGCCACGTAGAGGTGAGGCGGAGTTGGGCCAGCTAGAGTGCCAAGTTTAAACTTCAACTGGGATGCTGCTGGTTTGCGAGTGACGTGGGCGTGGAGCCGAGGAATTAAAGACTGATGTGCACCGCTAGTTCCCGATCTGCGATAGAGCATAGATCCCTTCGACTTGGATCCCACCTAGAGATTTCTAGAATCTCCACAAATGGTAACCGAGACGCCAGCGGTCGTGATGATGGACGGATCCTTGGGGTTCAGATCACGAAGCGCTCGGTAAGTGGGAGTCTTGCGAAGTCCACCAAAGCCCGATTCCAAAGCCTCGTGCAGCTTTCCAAAATTTCTACATGAAAAAGAGAGAAGAGCTGGAACGTCCTAAAAGCACATCTGGCCTTTTGAATTTAGGGCATAAATGTCTGTTGTGGTCGTTGGGCCACCATCGACCCCGGGCACTGTTCAGCTGTGAGAGGTTGTCGTGAACCCACGGACGGTGCTAAGATGCTTGTAGGCAAATCCCAGACACGGCAGAGTAGCAACCAGCGCACATCAGCATGTGTCGTAAGGCAGAGTCCATGCAAGCAGAAACTCAACGGGCCAACCGACGTCACATCTGAAACGGCCCAGATGAACGCGCGGAGCATGCCGCTCTCGCCGCGAATATCAAGGCGAGCGTGCCTCGAGTTGGGCTGCAGAGAGGGGGTGGCATTCTTGAAATTAAAGGCGGAGAAGGAATCCAGAAGCCTTTTTATTTCTTTGCCCGCTTCGATGATTCTGCTGTGAAATCTACGCGTTCTATCATTGTCGTCCACTTATCATTATTACATGATCATGGATACCATATCAGACGCCGTCAAGCTTTGTAAGATTGCTCTGGATGCGAAGAAGCTCCAGGAGATCAACTACGGCCCGCCACGGCCTACGCAAGTCACTCTGTTCTGGAACCTCGTGGTTCTCTCTCGGTACAACAAGTACACGCCCCTCTTCACCACGTTCGCAGGAGGTATGTTTCCGTAAAGCCGACCTTTTCAAACCAGCACGACTGAGCAGAGACAGTGTGGTCCGCTTTGCTAGCTGGAGCAACCGAGCTATCCAACCCCCATTCGAACATTCAACCCGCTTTCGTCTTCCGACAGACTGCGTTATGTTTTCTTTCGGCCTACCTGTTTTGCGGCGCGGGAATGGTCTGGAACGACTACGTCGACCGTGAAATCGACGCAAAGGTCGCTCGGACGAAGGACCGCCCGCTAGCGGCCGAGAAGGTCACCGTGACCGATGCCATGCTGTGGATGACGCTGCAGCTACTGGTGGCTTTGTCTTTGGTTCACAAGATGCTTGATGGGAAGGATGTGTATGGCTTGTACCTGCATGTCGCCGGACGTCTGTTGCTAACTTCAGTGTAGATGGAAGCACATGATACCCGTCATCATCGCCTCCATTCTTTATCCTTATGGGAAGCGACCGAATGCCCGCCGCCTTCGTATCTACCCGCAATACATACTTGGCTTCACCATCGCCTGGCCCGCCGTGATGGGACGCTCAGCCATCTACGGTCGGCAGCAACCTTTCGACTTCACCGTCAGCCAGTGCTTCCCGCTTTGCACAATGGTGTTCTTCTGGATCATCTACCTGAACACCGCGTACAGCTACCAGGACATTGTCGATGATCAAAAGATGCGAATCAACTCGTTTTACACGGTTGGCGGACGAAACTTCCACCGATTTCTTGTCGCCCTCGTTGGTCCGATTCTAATCTGCCTGCCATTGTATCTCATCCAGTTCCGGTCATGGTGGCTCTGGACTAGCTGGATGGGAGTCTGGACCGTGACCTTCTTCAAGCAGCTGTCCCAGTTTGATCCCAGATGGCCCGCTACCGGAGGTGGAGTACACAAAAGCAACTTCGTCCTCGGAGTTTGGACGATCGTGGCATGCGCGGTCGAGGTGCTCCTCAAAGACGTTGATACTACGCGCTCTGCGTTCAACCTCGATGGTTTTGTATATAACAATGCTTCTGCTTGATTGTTTGCTGCGAAATGATACCAGAGACTGCCGAGTCTAGCGATAAATGTTTTCGATGATATCAGTCTGCCAGAGTCGAGGACAGCAAACCCGACTCGTGTGCCTGCATAGCACGTGAGGAACAAAAGGCAGGCACAGTACCGTACCCGGCAATGATTCATGATTAGTACCTGGCTGAGAGTAGAAATACACGAGAGCGTTCCGGAGTTAAAATAGTGCCTAAATCCCGCTTCTTCGGTGATGTTTCTTTTCGTCAATTGCTGCCCTACAACGACATTACATACGTTCAGTACATTGAGATGGTTGTATAGCATTAGGCAAGTATGTTAGATTCTACACATGAACAATCCACCACATGGCACGCAAGCTAAACCGACCGAATTCCTGAACTTTCATACGACGAATAATTGACCCGAAGACAAGGTCAATCAGAGAAGCCTAGCCACGCTCTAAAACTCATACCCATATCCACCACCGAGGCGGCCAGAAATCCCAAAGAGGTCTATGATCCATGTGAAGAATCCAAGGACGAGCCCCAAGATGCCGTACCTGAATAAGTCAGGCATCAGGAATATGGAGTCTTTGTACCTGAGTCCCGGAACCTTCTGCGTCAGAGATCTGGGATCGTCGAGGTAGTAGTAGAATCGCGTTCCCATAGTCTTGAATGGCGTCTTGAAGATGTAGTTCATCGCGTAATAGGTGATTGAGCCGACGGCATCGAAACGAAGCTCGCCGTGGGCGCCATGAGAACGGAAGTAGTTCACAATGCGCCGGACCAGCCCAATCATCTCGTCGTTCGTGAGGTACGGGGTCAGACCTTCGAAAAGGATCAAGACTGGTCGATCGACAGGAATTTTGGCCTCGCGGAGCCAAGTGTCGCTGTGAATGTTGGGGTGAATCAAGCGGTACTCAGCCCCTTTGACTGGTTCCGGGTCATTCAAAACTTGGCGCCGTAGCTCGATGACATCCTCCTTGTCCGCGTCGATCCACACCCTTCCCTCTCCCTGCCACTGCACGCGATGGCATCTCGAGTCCATCCCGCATGCTAAGTGGATCACCGTTGCAGGACCCGGATTTCTTCGAAGAAATCTTTCAGTGCAGATGTCTAGCATGCGACCGCGCATAGCCACCGGTGCGGAGAATGTTGGAATTCTCGTGAATCCCATGGATGTTCGGTTGAAGTCATAGCCCTGTTCCTTGATCTGGTTGACGATCTCGAGGGCGTACTGGTCATTCAGAATCGGCGATGCAGACTCGGCATCCTTGGCGCGGGCGAAGAGGGTGAGCAGGAGAGTTTCCTGCGCACCTGACAACTTCACCTTGCCTTTGCTCAGAGCAGTTGTTGTGACAGCGGTGGACATCGTGATGGCTTTGCAGTGCGATGATAACACGGAGCCTGGGATGTGATGGGCTTCATTGCCTTTTGGCTGTTGACACTGACTGCTTCATAAAGGCCGTGAGGAGACGGCTTGACATTAGAAACGGCATGTGCCTCGGCATATAACCACAACCCGGCCGGCGTACGGACGACGTGTGCGTGGCAGGCCGTGGCTCGTGTCTTCGAAAACGTTCACTTTCCTTCGAAACTCCGGCGCCGATGAAAGTCATCTCATCCCTGCTTCCCCGGTGGAAGCCCCTACAGCTCGCAACCATGAGACGCATGGCCAAATCGGATGGAGAACAATGCGACAAACGCGACCGCTCGTTCTCGCCAGTCTCAGCGGGGTTCGGGTACGAGCAGAACTGGGTTCCCTGCGGACTCCGGCAGTCGGGGTGTGCTGCAGCGGCAGCATGGAAGCTTCTGCCCCGTGCATGAATTGACTTCTGAAGCTTCGATACATGACCTCATGATATCACATGAGGACGGCACAGGCGCGGTATGCTGAGGTAAGGTCAGCTACATCATTAGCATGTCGTCGCTGCCTACAACCTAATTGAGTCATGGTAACGAGCTGTCAGGGTGGATGATCGGGGGCCTGCCATCGGCCGTGAGGACGTTTACGAGCGTATTCGTATCTCAGAACCACTGCGAGCTGTTAGCAGCTCTCATGTGTTGGCTTGTGAAGCAAGCTGGAACATCAGAGACTTCCGTTTTGTTCTCATGGCTTCGTGTTACACGAGCAGACCCAATACGTATCAGTGCAGGCTTCATGTTGAGATGCACAACACGGAACCGTCTTAGTCCCTCTTTGCGTTTGGAAATGCCACAGGCGTTCGAAAGCAACTGCTCCATGAAGGTGCACAGAGGTACGCATCTACGCTGACTTGAGATGGATGATCCACTAAGAATCACGTTATTCGGGTTTCAGATGATGCCCAGACTGCCAAACGCCCATGCAGGTCAAAGACACTGATCGGAAGGCATTCTGCGCTGGTTGTAGTCCTCGTGGAAAATCGTTCGCTGGTAGGATAGCAGCGTGGACATGGCTCAAGGACAGGGCGAACTTGTTAGTTCATTAGTCTGAGCCAGGTGGTCCGTAAGTTTACGATGCAGCACTGGGTCCATGTACCTAGTAATATTGACTTTGACGTATTCAGAGGGAACTAGAATTATTCACACCAGTGATCCCGCTCTCGCCAACCAGCACTGGAAGTGCTCGATAATACCATGATAACCCTGCAATCGATCGTGTTCAATCTTTGGACATATTGCAATGCACCTTACCTCCACTTGTTATCCCAGCCAGCCTGCTCAATAGCAAAAGCAATAGCCAGCTCGGAGAACCTTGCCATATGGTCAATAGAAAATACGCCGAACTCGTCGTCAATGTCCATCCGGTCCTTGCTGGTGTGGACGTAGGGGTCGAACTCGCCAGGGAAACCACCAGCAACGGGGTTGCCCTCGGAGGCAAACGTGGCAGGGAAGCCCAGCTTGGTGTAGGACATGTAGTCTGATCCAGCACCAGGCATCAACTCGTACACACTGGTGGTAATGTTGATGTACTCAGTGCTCAAGTCCACAGCCCACTTCGTCAGAGGCGCGTCCGCGTCAGTCTTGATGAATCCAATCGACTCGGTGGCGTTCCTTGCGATGAAGGCGGTCATGTCAAACTCCATCATAGCACCAATGTTCGCGCCCTCCTTCTTCTTGTAAGCGGCGATATCCTGGCTACCGAGCAGACCGCCTTCCTCAGCGGCATACCAGTGGAACTCTACAGGTCCCTCCTGGGGAATGTAGCCGCTCAAAGCAAGCACGCGGAAGGCCTCGAGGATGCTGACCGTGCCGGAGCAATCATCGTCGGCACCCGGAGCAGGGAGAAGAGGAAAGAGGTAGTTGGCGGAGTCTTGGTGGGCGCCGATGATGGTCAGGGGCTTGGAGAAGTCGCGGACCTTGGGCTCGAAGCGCGCGATAATGGAGGACTGCACGAAGTTGTGGGTGAAGTACTCGAGGGAGATATGGGTGTGGTACGGAGATTGCGCGATAATCTCGGCGATGTGATCGTGCAGCCACTGGGAGCTTTCCTCACCAGTCGGACCGTCGAAGTATCTGTTATAGTAGCTCGTCATGTGGGCGAGGACGTCGTGCATCTCGGTCTGGTTAACCTTGGGGAACAGGGGCTTGATCAATCGTTGATGGGTGATCTTGGGAAGATCTGGACGAGAACCCGTCAGCTGATCGTCTTCTTAGTCGATACGGTTTGATCTAGCACTTACTGGCCTTCCCGGACCACGCGCCGACGGAGTCCTCGGCGTAGAGCTCCTGGTGATTCGTGATGTCGCGGAACTTCTTGCCCTTTCGGCGCAGACGAAGCTTGTCCCCCTCCGTCATCCATTGCGGCTCCTTCTCGCCAAAGACGTGAAGCAACCTGCGCTCGGCGAGCTTGTCCGCCTTCTCGGGTTGGAGGGACAGCAAGGCATCGACGGGGTCGGGATGCGCCTTCAACGCGGCGAGGACTGACTCATCGGCTTCGTGGATTCGGAAGGGAGTCGCGGCGTCTTTGCTGGCGGGCGCGATGACGAACTGGTCGTAGGAGGCGCTCAGCGCGAGCTGCGAAGAGCCCAGAAGGAGCAGTAGCTTGGTAGACAGAGAGTAGCGCATGGTGGCTGTTGGGTTGCGGTTGCGGATGTGTGGAGGAGAGAGGGAGCTTGGCAAGGGCTTATGAAGAGAGATGGCGCTTGATGCCTCACATCAGCGATAAGCGCATCCACCGTTACGGGTGATTGGTACGAGTAACCAAGCTCGGAAGGTCGCTGAGAAACCAACGGCACAGCGGCGATGATGCAATCGAGTGCTGATAAGGATCGATTGCAGGGGTAGCAAAGGTTCCTTTTTTTGTGTCAGAGCTCCCAATGTGCGTTGCTCCAGCAACGAGACTTAGTTGACGCGTTATGTCTTCAGTTCTGCAGTCCAAAGGCGCCACAAATGGATGGCAAGAGAAGTTCGGTTTCAAATGATTGACAAATTTCTGATGATTCTTTAAACGAATGACTTATTTCTAAAAGACTGTGTTCTGTTGATAATAACCACAAAAACTTATCTTACCTACTCAAGATAACAGCCGTTCACCTTTGTTGGCTTGGTTCGCCTGATACTCTCCCGATATGTTGCCAACTTGTTCGCGACAGGTAGAGCATCCAGTCCATCCGTCACCAAGGATATGAGTGACCCTATCAGGACATCCTAAATCGGGCATGATCATTTGCTCCCTCGTCAACGTCTTCTTCTTCTTCGGAAACCCCCAAGGGTTTTCCATCCTCATCGTTGAGGTTTCCGCGCCCGGTTCTGTGCCGGACTCTGGGCTTGGAGCGTCCGAAACAATTTCCTGATTCTTGTTTTTCTTCTTTTTGTCTCCCTCAACTTTCTTCTCCTTCTTCTTCTTCTTGGACTTGGGCAGCTCACCCCAAAGGGGCCAAGGACCTGCCTCGACCTCTGGTACAGCTTCTGGCTCTGGCTCCTTCTCCTGCTCAGATACTATCGCCTTCTCACTCTTCTTTTTCTTCTGTTTCTTGCTCAAAATTCCCCAGAGGTCTTGCTCAGATCCTGCCTCATCCTCCAATACTGGCTGAACTCCCGGTTCTTCCACCGGGTTCGGCTGCAGGATTGAAGAGGCCAACTCGTCTCTTTCATTTTCCTCCGCCAATCTGGTTCCCCACTCCGACACAAGCTCTACGCCATTATTTATCAAGACACCTTCGTTTTTCTTCAAGGATTTGGTCTTTTTCGGCTTCTTCTTATCCTTCTTAGACTTTGTTGTAGGCTGGACCAGGTGCGATTCGTCTTGTGGGCAGTCCTCTGGCGGAGCCTCGGGGATACAGTCCACCGGGTCGGAGATATAGTCCGCCGGGTCACTCTCTTTGGTCTCGACCCATTCTGCAAGTGGCTCCGTCGGCTCGGCAAACTCTTCGATCGTGGTTTGTTCAGCCACAGCCCAGTCATCTGACGGCGGTGTCTCTGGCACCTTCGTCTCCTCTGCTAGTGGCTCAGCCTGTGACCCAAAGGACAAGTGATCCTCCGCAGGCACGTCGGCTGCCGTTTCTGATCCATTCAAATGGGCTTCGTCGGTTTCGAAAACGGATTGTTCCTCATCAGCAACCGATAGTACACGGCGGTTTCGCGAGTTCTGACAGCACAGCAAAAACATGCTCTTCACCAGAAAGTTTGAATAGACCGTGCCGTGTTGAACACATCCCAAAAACACCGACTCGTCCAGATACTTCGAGGTATTGAACATGAGTCTCAGGCGGCGCTGTAGAAAGCTTCTGAACCAGATGTCATGTTCACTCAGAAGCTGGCAAGCCTCGGAGGCCGACACGACAACGTCCAGCGGCGTCAAACAATTGGCGAGCCGCAGCACTTCTTTCTTGGCCATTTCCACCAAGGCCGGGAGACCATAAGCCTTAGCAGCACAGTAGACATGCACGCTCGTCTCAAAGTCGGACTTGATGACGCTGATGTTGGAGTCATAGCATGTGAGGGGCTCTTGCTGTGAATGGCTTTGTGAAAGGGTCTGCCAAGTTCCAGTGTAGAGATAATGAACCAGTACATGACCGGCGTCATCTGGAACTTCGTCGATATGTATATCGTTGAGTTCATCCTGGGGTTCATCCTGGGGTTCATCGCTGCGCAAAGTGGCTAGCGCCCCAAGCAACTCGCTTGCATTACATAGCAGGTCGCGTGGAACAAAGAACGGTATTTTGTTCCTGAAGTATACCCTACAGCTTGGGCTCGTGTATGGTCTGAATCCAAGTGCATGTCAGCTCTCTGTTGCACCTCGTGCGGAGGGGATACCACTCACGAAAGCACCGGCGCATCTTCTGGAGCTGAAGGCTCAGAGTCATCGGGCGGGGGCAGGGGCTCGTCTTCTGAAATCATTGGATAATCTGCTGGAGGCATTGCGTCGACAGTGGTAACATAGGTGGTGTTCGCCTCCGATTTCTTCTTCTTTTTGGCCATAGTTGTCGATGCCTATGACTTTGAGACAGCACATTCCACCCAAAGCCGCCTTATGGTACTGCTTAAGTAGTCAAGAGACTGCTCCGAATCGCCCGCACCCCGCGTGGAACATGTTGCAGGCGCCTTGGGTGCCTCCAAGCCAAGCGATTTGGGCTTTGCTGCAGGTGGCGTATGCAAGCCTGATGTGCTTTCTTCTGTGGAAGCATTTACCACCAACAGCGTGACAGAAATATTTGCAATCCAACCAACGGCCCATGGGATGGTTGCAAAGCAGCTTTGTGTGGCTTGCATGCTGCGGTTTCCAGCCAATAATGGTTGGCCTGCACATGGAGCGACGCTCTGTTGGTCCACGTTGCACCTGCTGTAAAAGCACCCCGCATACTGCAATGCAGGAAGTCCTGATATCTGTCGCAGCAACTTCGAAAGTCAGGCCACGCTTTTACCAGGCACATGCGAGGTTGCGTTTTGGGTCTGTTGATGATTCGTATCCTTAATTCAATGAAAGTTCTGCGCATATGAGGCGGGAAAAGTATCTATCCTTTAGGTAACCGGCAGTCAGGATAAGAAAAGCTACCTGTTAGCCTGTTGGATTTGCTGCCGACCATGCAGCTGCTCAATGGCAGATATATCCGGGTCGGTTTAAGATGAACATTATCCCAAGGTGTTGAAATTTTCGTACTACGAGCCATGGATAAGGGTTTGCTCCATGTCTCTAGTATATCGGGAATCTTTGACGCCCACCAACCCTCTCGGAAGAACGACAATTGATTCTTGAAATATCTCGATGTCCCTAGTTGGGGTAAGGCATTTCTAGATTGATAATGAGACCGCTATCAATTTCTTTGGCCATGCTCTGCCAAAGCTCGTTTCCGCCATCGGTACACAAAGCTAGACAAGCCTTAGTCCTCATAAAGGAAGCAAGTCATCGCATAAAGATCAAATCCGTGCCGAATACAATGAGGCCTCACAATAACCACTCTTGCAACCCTCACAAAGTTCCCTTTTGTGGGGAGGTGTTTCCTTCTTACTGTAGACAGGACGTTCCATGTCCACCCCTGCCCATTTCTTCAACCGATACGCGACCCGCTCGACGTAGGAATTTTCATCCAGAGTCAGAGTTCCTAGTTTCTTGCAGGCTGTGCAGCGCTGGTTGTATACGACTGCGTTGTATCCGTTGTCGGGGTACCCTCTGATGACTATGGTCACCTTCCCGCTGCTCCAGGCTGCCTTGGAACAGCCGCCATTGTCGCAAGTGAACCTCCCCATCACAAAGGTTGAATATTTCCGGTCAGACTCCTGATTGGTCTTTCTGTTGAACCACACGGAGGTGATGTGGTCAGAAACGGCGTCGGCAACGTCCTGGTTCAGGTGGGGGAATGTGAATGAGGTTTTTGTCTCGCCGCTGAAATTGGTGGACTTTTTCTTGGCCATCTCGTACAGACTGAAGATTCTTAATGTCCTGTTTTGTTTTGTCGTTTGAGTCGCATTGTGTAAGTGGATGGACGGCATAGCTGCCATTTTATCAAGGTCTTGTTACATGAAGCTGGAATAATAGTGCGGGGTAAATTATTGAGGATACACGCAATGGGCGGTGAAATCGCCAGGTTGGAGACATAATAGTGCAGGCGTAGGCTTGGTCAAATGCTGGAGGCCGACCACCACGATATTGTTGAGATGCACAGCAGCAGCAATCTGAAGATGTGATGTCTTACGATGCAGGGGGCTCCCTTCATTATGACGTAGTCCTCACCAACAGAAACTTTCTTCATTATCTTGGTGTTAAGGATGGGTACCTGGGAATAGCCGAAGGTGGCTCTTTCAAGCAATACAGGTGACATTGACGTTGATGTCAAAACAGGTCAATTCATAAGGGCTCGCAGTGTCAGAAAAGCTGCTTCGAGAATGAGCACTTCCCATTGACGATGTGACACATTTCTTCGGTTGTATCTTGTTACCACCTGGAGACTCTATAGAATTAGTCATGACATTGTTCTTGGCGGCTCTTTCATGTTTTCACCGGAGTCTTAGTAACATGCCGGATCAAACCATCCCGCCGGCTGTAGTGGGCTTTCCTAACTCCCGGGAACAGCAATCTGTGCCTTCGTCCGAACCCTCTCCCAATCAAGTCAATGTATTAGATGTCAAGCTTTACACTCCGGAACGGCATTTGAAGTAACATCCGGAAGTCAGAGCTACAGAACATGTATATTTCAAACGCATCTCCTTAGTTAAGGTACTTCATGTGAGAACTATGATGTTACCGGCAGGTCCGGTAATCGCAGCCACGCCTCGATATCTACAGCGTAATAAAAGCTTGAACCAAGCATCAGAACAAAATTGTTCCAACCTCATTAAAGCAGATAAACAACTCGAAAATACAGCCTAGTTTAAGCAGATATTCAATGCCCATCATGTCAAAATACGCCGCCGCTCATGAAAACATTCAAGGCCCAGGCGACGCCCGCCCGACAGCCGCCCAAATAATCGCCGATGAGAACCTCCACAACGCACTCGTCAATAAAACAATCTTGATCACCGGCGCAAACCAAGGCATCGGCCTCGAGACAGCCCGCGCACTTCACTCAACCGGTGCCACCATCTACCTCGGGGTGCGTGACCTCACCCGTGGCCAAACCGCCATCGACGACATCAAGTCCACAAACCCGGACAGCAAAGGCAGTCTTCACCTCGTAGAGATGTCTCTCGACTCGCTCGCTTCAGTACGAAAGGCAGCGGCGGATTATACAGCCCGCAGCAAGCAGCTGAACATCCTTGTACTCAACGCAGGCGTGATGCCAGAAACCAAACAGACAACCGAGGACGGCTTCGAAAAGACATTTGCGACCAACCACCTGGGCCACTTCCTTCTCTTCCAACTCCTCAAACCACTTCTCCTGGCTTCGTCAACACCCCAGTTCCATTCCCGAGTCGTCGCGGTAGCCTCGATACTCCATCGTGGCAGCGAAGTCCTGTTCGACGACTACAACTTCACCAAACAGCCCTACGACACGGTTATCGCCTACAGCCAAACCAAAATCGCGAACGTCTACCTGGCCAACGAGATCGAGCGCCGCTACGGCCCCCAGGGCCTCCATGGCCTCTCGCTGCACCCGGGCAGCATCATCACCAACATGAACCGTCACCAGCTCGACAAGGATCCCGCAGAGCTGAGGGCCATGTTTGGAGAGCAATACGAGATGCTCGCCAAGTCGCTCAAGAGTCCCGCGCAGGGAGCTGCGACAACGGTGTACGCGGCCGTGAGCAAGGACTGGGAAGGTCGCGGTGGTAGGTATCTGAGTGATTGTGGTGAGGTTGGGCCGGTGAAGCCTGGGGAGGGTCCGTTTTCGCTAGATCAGGGCTTCGCGCCATGGGCTTACGATGAGGAAAAGGAGGGGAGGTTGTGGAGGGATTCGAATTTGATGGTTGGATTGCAAGAGGATTCTTGAACCATTTGGTGTTGCACGGTCATCTGTTGATGCAGTGTTAGAGAGTAGCTGCGTGTGAACCTAAATCGCCTCCACTTCCGAGACGAACTGCAATCATTTGACTGTGCAAGTCATGATGAAAATAAGTTGAGAGTGATATTTCACGGTGCACGTTCTATGACCTAAGACTGAATAATGTTTAGCGACGGAGTCTATGTGATCACTCTGGACGTAGTGTAGCAGTCCAAGTGAACATTTGGTTCAAAGCCAGTTGTCATCAAAGACAGCACTGGCGATGTTACTGGGGAGAAGATCAAACCCAGGTTTCACCGTCCCGAGAACCAACGTGGGAGGGGCCACTAGGGTTACAGCATTCGGTATTATTGACGACCATATGCAATGAATTGAGAGATGTGCTAAGCGCAGGGCATGGCGATAAATATCTTCAGTCGCACATCTAGGAGATAAGCGGTTTAGGATCACGGTGCTCAATGTTTCAGAATCGAGGCATTCTGGTATCACTCGTGGTCCATAAATCTCACAAATCAAATTCATGTTCAGAAAATACCAGTTTGCTGTGTCCCCCCATTGTGCACCAAAAGCATAGGGTATTCTCTACGGCTGGTGAAACCGAAATTTACTCTACAGGCTAGCTACACAGACGGTTTGTTTCTCTACGGTCAAGCGCCGATTAAAAACGTAGACACAAAGGGCTTCCGATGACCTCACTCACTCATTGCCTACGCGACAGCCTATTGGATACCTATGTCGACTCTGAGCCCCATCAAAACACTGTTTACTTCGTTCGAGTCCAGCCGCAGATGTAAAACCCAAAGTTTTGTGCCTAAAAGACTTGGTTGGTTGCTGATAGGGTCTCGGTGAGGATCCGCCCCCTTGATACGCAGGAATCTGACCAGTGAGAGGGCGGAAAGGTGCAGTTTGAGCTGCATTACATTTCCAAAACGGATAGGTGCAGAAAATACCGGCAGGAGAGGGGAAACAAGGCGAGGAATTTGGCAATCGACCAGGCATCCCTCATCTTCTTCTTGTCTTCCTTCCATATTGTGTTTTTCTACCAGCCTGTAATTTGCGAAGTAGCCTCTTTTACTCCAACATGATCAACGCGAGTGAGGACAGTGGTTGTCTCTCCGTTTTGTCTTCTTGCTTCAAGAGACGAGGCAAGCCGCGACCAGGCGCTTCCGAGTGCCCAAATCAAGTGGCCCCTTTGGTGTCATCCGCAACGGAGGTGACCGAACTGTCGTCGCTTAATCCGGTTCACGATGAAACATCTGCCTCGACGAACCCCGAGATCCAGACCCCTCGCCAGAAAGCTCATCTGCGCCGTCAGCTGCTAACATTGAAGACAAGTCAGCTACCATCACCCCTATTACTGATCAAGGGTTAGCTACAACAGACCACGCCACGACAATACTTGGTCTGTGGCAAGAAGCGTACGATAAGCTGGATGAGAAAACTCGTAAATGGATCGACAGTATTCCACGGGCTGCTAATTCCAAAGACTCCGCAAAAGAGCTGGTGGAATTGGTCCGCTTGAGGGAGAAACATGAGAAAGAAGCGCTGAAGCTCAAGTTCGGCGGTCGTCAAATCTTGCGGAGGGATTACGCGACCAGAGTGATATTTTTACTGACGGCAATTGGAGACATCACCGTCACAGTTACAGGCGCCCTCTTCAACCGTGTGGTCAGCAGTCAAGATGCTTTTGAAGGTAGGTACTAGTGTGTTGCAGCTCAAACATCTGCTCGTCAACCCTATGAGCTGACGATCTTTCAGGCCAACGTATCGAAACGCGAAGATCTTGTAGCTATCATGGGATGTACAGACATGGTCCTCTGCCTCGTGAGGCGTGGCATGGTGTACGAAGAGGTGTACCTTAGGGAGTTGCCTAGGCTCCCAGCCCAGGAAGATTTGAAGCAAGAGCTTGTTGAGGTATACGCGAACTGCTTGGAGTTTCTAGCCTTCGTCGGCGGCGAATTGCAGCATGGGAATATGCGGCGATTCTTGGAGGCGTTCTTAGATCCCGGTCACGGTGACAAGCGCGTGTCGGCCCTAAAAGCCCTTGAGCAGAAGCTGCAGTTCGCAGCTCAGGCTTGCGAGGCTGAAGCAAGCTCTGAACATCGAAACTTGGTTCAGAGTCTTGCGTGGCCGCTCAAGCGTGTTGACGACAATGTTGCGGCAGTTCTTGAGAGACTCAATGACAAGGAAAAGGAAAAAGGCTATGGCATACATCAGCACTGTCCCAGTCGGGGTTCACCACAACGAGAAACGCGAAAATAGAACCAGAAACACATGGGAATGGGTGACACTCCATACTCAATTCCTCAAATGGGAAGAATCGGATTGTTCATCGGTTCTCTGGCTGCAAGGAAACAGTGAGTTTTGGTGCCTCAACACTTTTACGGGATGATTGACTGACCTGGGCGGTCTTCCGCAGTTGGTACGGGCAAGTCTTTTCTCACTTCGAAGGTCATTGATCGTTATTGGGCTCAGAGCCGAAACGCCAGTCAGCCACCCAGTGAGAAGAGCGACGAAGGGGTTGCCTTTTTCTACTGCAATAGTTCTGATACGACTCGGCACAGCGTTCACTCTGTCCTCCGAAGTTATGTCCGACAACTTTGTGAGGTAACGCGTGATCGCAAAAGTTTTCACAGAGTGGTTATCGATCTATACAACAAGAGAGCAGGAATCCAGAGCGATATTACAGTTGAAGATTGCGAGACAGCATTGATTGAGATGATTAACAGTCATCCGCGGACTGTTTTGATACTCGATGCTTTGGATGAGTGCAGCAAAGTAACAAGAAGAAAGCTTCTTGAGATCTTCAAGCGCCTGGTTGAGAAAAGCAATCGACTACTGAAGATATTCATAGCTAGTCGCCCAGAACACGACTTGAATAGGTACATGAGGTCATTTCAAGGGCCGCAGACGATGATCACCATCAGCACTTTGGACAACCGCGGGGACATTAAGACGTTTGTCGACGCGGAGGTGGACAACTTCGCTGCAAATTGGGAGGTCGAAACTGGGCAGCTTGTTAAGGACATGCTTGTAGATAAGAGTGACGGAATGTTAGTATAATCGCACACCTGCATATGACCTTCGCTGACAGGAAGAAAATAGGTTCAGATGGACGTATCTGCAGTGGGAACAACTCAAGGATTTAAGTACCAACGGTGGTGTAAAGCAAAGACTTGGAAAGCTCCCTAAGACACTGACGGGAGCCTACGACGAAATCTATGATAGATTCGCTCCTGGTGGTGTGGAGTGCTTCATGATGCAGCGAGTGATAAGATGGGTCATATGCGCGCGCAGCCGTTAGGAAGTCGAGCATTGCTGGCAGCCATCAGAATCGAAATCGAAGAAGCGAACGGGGAGCAGCCCTTTGACAAGGCAGACCTCACCGAGCCCATTTTGGAGGCTGTTTGCCGACACCTGGTCGTGAGAGACCCGAAGCTTGGAGTTTGGAAATTCTCGCATGCATCAGTTGCCGAATACTTTCGGGCTCAGAGCGACTCGTGGGTCAAAGACGCCGAAGGGGAGCTGACAGTCGTCTTGACCAACTGCTTGATAGACTTCTGCTCCTCGGTCTGGCCGATGAAGTGTATGATGAACGCCGAAACAGTTATTGAACTCTCCGGTTGGCTTGAAGCTAGGAGGGCCGCTCCCAGACACACTCTGAATCCTTGGCATCCGCTTCATAGATACATCACTCGAAACTGGCTGCAGCACATACATAACATTTCCAACGAAGATTCCAGCATTTTGGATGTTGTCCAGGCTCTGAAACGCTTCCTAGGTGAAGCAAGCCCTCAGAAGTCTTCCTGGGAGTACAGGGCATTTTGCCTCATTGTTATAAGTAGCGATGACTGGACTTGTGACAATTCCTCCGGCAACTACATGCGTACTTCGGTCGATCCATATGACAATCCTGTTTTTGGAGTTGTTGCATTTGGCCTTCATCGGTTTCTGGCAGGGTGGTGGGACAAACGGGTCGATATTTCTTCACTGGTGAATGCGGAGGGGTCAGATCTCCTAGCAATCGCCGCCTATTTGGGTTACACCGGACTCTGCGAATACCTCATTGAGCAAGGATGCGATATCAACAAAGACACTAAAATTACATGCCATAGCGCACTGGGTGCATCTATTCATCAGCAAAAGATCGGCACCATGAAAATGCTTCTGGAGAAAGGCGCAAACCCGGATCGCATCATGAACCATCACAGTCTTCTTTGTCTGGCCATGAAAAAGGGGATCGATTACTGCACGCTTCTACTAGAGAAAGGCGCAGACCCCAGCATCGAGTGTCGCAGCAGGTCTTGCTGTCGCTTCGTGTCGACTTTTGGCATCAAACACTATCTTCGCCGTGCCCTATCGAAAGCTGCTTACAACGGCAATCTCAGTATAATGAAAGCCCTCGTTGACAAGGGGGCAGACATTAACCCAGAGAGTCTCAGGGATCTGGATGGAATTCCTCTGGCAGCTGCCGTGTACATGGGGCAGCTTGACCGTGCACGCTTTCTTATAGCGAAGGGTGCAGATGTCAACGCCCAACTGAAATACAGAGACTTTGGGAGTCCTCTGACTGCTTCTGTATGCAGTGGAGAGCTCGAATGCGCTCGCCTTCTCGTGGAGCATGGAGCGGAGGTCAACATGAACCCAAAGTTCGGCCCATACGGCAGCCCCTTGGCAGCTGCTGTATCGATGGGACATTTGGACTGCGCTCGCTTCCTCGTTGAGAATGGCGCTGACGTCAATTCACATCTGGAGTTTGGAGAATATGGCAGTGTGTTGGCTGCTGCGATTCTCGGGAAGCATCCCGTTCTTTAGATGGTCAAGTTTCTAGTAGAGGAACAGCAGGCAGGTCCCTCCCAGTTAGTCTTTGTGCGACCACGGGGGAAGAATGACGGAAGGCTGAGGCAAAGATCGATTAAAGAGGGTTGGTGTGATCAGAAACTAGGAAGGACGATGGCAGCATATCTTACGCAGAAGCTTGGGATTGAGGCCCAGATTTTAACCAGCCTCGGCGTGCCACAAGAGGATGTAACACCTACTGTTGCCCTTGCGCACTCATCTGGCCGTAATGATGATGACTAGTCGGAGATAACTGGTGTTTCTAGTGGGAGCAAGCTTCTTTCTTCCCATCCGTGTGCCAAAACTTACCATTGTAGTTCTGATGAGGCGGCGGCTGTTCGGGTTTCTGAATATACGTTCGCCGTAATTCTGCTGAAAATTACTTTCCTTCCATGACATTATCGATAAATCACCTGGCATATATGAACGCCGCAACAATGAGGGATTCAATTGGCAGTCAGGATTCTGTTGACTGCCGCCCATCCTTTCATCAACTGCTGTTCCTTCCAAGACGTAGCGCTTATATTCCACGACGCTTCCTCATTCTCTGCGGAGAGGGAGCCGTACTCCACCAGAGATCATCCGCTTCCCTGTGCCCGACGACCTCATTGCCTGTGATGTTTTCCAATCCCTTGACGCTTCGCGTAATTCTTCTCAGAGGCATGATGTCAGAGTCCAGAAGCCACAAAAGCTCCTCGACCACTACTTCCGCTGCTACTTTGAAAACAGGCTTGAACCACTCCCTCTCCTCATGACCTTCGTCCAGCCCCGGATCAGGATCTGCGGCGATGACAAGCAGAAACGGCGCCGATGGACGCCACCACTTGGATCTCGTAGTCGGCCGTTCAGCTTCCTCCAAATCCAGAACAGATACGACTGCCTCGTCAGACGCGACGAGGAATACCTTGTCCGACATGCCGGTGGGCAGGTCCGACTTGAGGCCGTCGAATCTGGCCCGGAGATCGTCGGCGCTTTCGCTGGCCAGGGCAGCATCTTCGATCCACCTCATCTCAAACTTGGACCTGGCCTCCTCAATGGATTCCATAGACTCCTCGGGAACGTCGCCTTCCTCGATAGCCCTCTGGAAAGGAATCTCAATAATCCTGTCGACTTCTTTGGCGAAAGCTTCCCACCGCTCTGGATCATCGTAGCTGGCTGTCCGGAAGGCCACCACACCCCACGTCTGGCCCTTGTGGCGTTCGCTCCAATGCTTGAGCCAATTTGGTGGGAAGTACTCGGGCACACTCTCCTTAGTATCAGCGCTCGATTGCTGCTGCTCTTCATATACATGCATTGCCAAGTTTTCCACCCCGTCTTCGCCGAGTACGTCGCGCAACCCCGCTTGCATCTTCAAAAGCTCCCCCTCAGGAAGCTCGGCGATGTCAGCGTGAGTAGCATGGCGGTAGCGGTCATAGTTCCAGCCCGGTGGCCAATAGGAACTTGAGGCATCTGAGTACACCGGCGTTTGGGGCGGCGGTGCATTTTGTGAGAAGTTGGGGCGCGGCATACGGTTCGGTACGGCTCTTGCGGATGGGAAGGGAAGAGTGATCACCGGCTCTGAGTAGATGTAATGTTCAAGCCGGTGGTGAGATGGAAAATTTGCAATATGTCGCAGGGCGGTCGTCAAATTGTTGCTTGCCCCCTTACATAAGGTGAAGGATCACGGTACGTACTCCAAGACAGGCGGGAGAATTTGTCGAGTCTTCTAGGCTATTCAATGCATGTTAGTGAGTTTACCAATTTGAGACCTATGAAGTACCATTCGGCAATATGCGAACAATTCCGAGTGGAAGTGGCAGGTCTTACCCCTAAAGCTAGCACTCGTCCAAGTGCGAATTATCTCGGAAAGCATCTTGAACGCCGCGACTAATGCGTAAATTGCCATCAAAGATGATTCAACAACGCAAAGTTGTCTCATGACCATAGATGTGCCGAAAATGACCTTTCTTCAATTCGATTTTGATGGGAGTAGAACTTTTGGTTTGAGAGAGCACTAACATTCATCCAGCAACACGAGATGATGAAATAAATATGGCTTAGTACGAGTTGTTTCTGTCATAATTTCCGAACCTTTAGGACGAGGGTTCCCTAAAGGTGATAAAAGGAAGCAGCTACTATTAGTTCCTTCTTCGGGCTGTATGCTCACTCCACGAGGGCGCCTGCCTCACTTCACCTAGGAAACTTACCAGGTAAGCTAGTGAGAAGCTCTTTCCATCGAATCCGTCGCAGACTCAGTGAAACTCGCACCGAAGGCTTATTCCAGCGGCAGGTCATACAACAAGAACATTATGCAAAACCTGACTTTCATACGTTCGATCTCCAGCCGAACTAAGGATTTCATCGTTTTGTCCCTTTGAATTTTGTCCCTTCATCTCGCCCCAACTCTTCGCCTCCCAGTCGCCCTGTCCGCCAGGCTTCTAATATTCTCCTGTCGATTACCAGGGGATGCCGGTGGCATACTTTGCAGCCTAGCTTCTTTCGAGCGAGCCATCGAAAATGTTTGATTTCGCATGATTTCCCAATGTCGTATTTGTGAAAGAGGGATCGGCGCTTGGCATAAGGTTGAAGAATCCAGGTGTCGGCATTACCGCCCCTGGGATGTGGGGGCTCGAGGCCATGGGTGGAGACGGCGGGGCACTTTTCGTGTGGTGTTTCCTGAGGCGCGATGCTGCGCGGGGCAGTGGTGATGGCCTCGTTCCATTACCAGATTGGGAAACATCATTCGATACATACGATGAGGATGCTGATGTGAACATGTAGAAGTTGTAATTAGTCTAGATCTATCCAGCTCTAATGCCTATGTGTCATGAGATCTAACCCCAATTGCCCCAGATTCCCGCGCCATGCAATGCTCCAAAGGGTATACACCGACAAATATGGTACATACAAAAAAACACAAACCCAAACCCCATCCTATCCCAATTTTACACAACCCTAAGCGTCGCTCCTGGGAGGCCACTTGACTCTCCTCTCGGCGCGCACGTACAGGTTGTTGGGGCGGATGAGCTGGAACATGGGGTCGTACTCCACCGCGCTGTCCTGCGCGAGGCTGAACTTGTAGCGGTAGACGAGCTTGGGCAGGAAGACCTTGACCTCCTGCAGCGCAAAGTTGAAGCCGATGCACATGCGCGGGCCCGTCGCGAAGGGGATGTAGCTCGCGTTGGGGCGGTTCTTGACCTGCTCCGTGTCCCAGCGGTCCGGGTCGAAGCGCGCCGGGTTGTCCCAGACGAGCGTGTTGTTGTGGATGTGGTGGATCGCCGGGATGACGATGCTGTCCTTGGGCAGCTTGTAGCCGCCGGGGAGGATCATGTCGACCTTGGAGGTGCGCGCGGGCTGGTAGGACGGGTTGTGCTTGCGCTGCGTCTCCTTGATGTACTTGTCGAGGAAGGTGAGCTTCTGGGTGAGCTCGGCGGTGATCTGCGTGTTTTCGTCGAAGCCGTTGTCGATGAGCTCCTGGAGGAGGCGCTCCTGCATGCCGGGGTAGGCGACGAGGCCGTAGAGCAGCCAGGAGAGGAGCGAGGAGGTGGTGGTGAAGCCGGCGCCGGTGGCGACGACGAGGGGCTCCATGATGCGGTCCTGGGGCAGCTTGTTGCCGTCGCGGTCGGCGGCGCGGAGGACGTAGTCGACCATGTTGTCGGCGTTGAGGGCGGCCTCCTGCAGCTCGAGGTTGGCGGTGCCGCCGCGGGAGGCGGCGGCGATGGACTCGTTCATCATGTCGATGATGCGGCCGCGGGCGTCGCGCAGGCGCTGGGGGTCGCCGAAGGGCAGCTTGGCGTACCAGGAGCCCATGGAGGTGATCTTCTTGTTGAGCTCGAGGGACTGGGCGATGCGGATGACCATCTCGTGGGGCGGGGCGTCGACGGCGGTGAAGTGCTTGAAGTCCATGCCGAGGACGAGCTTGCCGACGGCCTGGGAGCCGAGCTTGAGCATGTAGGGGTAGACGTTCCAGGCCTCGTCCTTGTCGTCGAGCTCGTCAAAGACCTTGAAGGCGTCCTCGACGGTGGCCTGCATGGTGGGGGCGTAGTGGCGGACGGCCTTGGGGCCAAAGGCGGGCGGGAGGAACTTGTGGGCGAGCTTCCACTCGGGGGTGTCGGTGTCGCCGAGGAAGACGCCGGACTCCTGGTTCTTGATGGGGTAGAGGGGGTGGCCGGGGATGATGTTCTTTGTGAAGAAGTCGGACTCGGAGAAGACGATGTTGGCGAGCTTGGGGTCGTTTGTGTGGTAGATGACGGAGCCCATGTTGTTGGTCTTGATGAAGGGGCCGTAGCGCTCGAAGAGGCGCTGGTGGTTGCCGAGGTGGTCGGGGTAGACCTCGAAGTAGTTGCCGATGAAAGGCAGGCCGGCCGGGCCGGGGACCTCGCGGACGGCGTGGCCGTCGATGGAGAGAGCGATGGGGCCCTCGGCGGCGAGGACGTCGGCGACGGTTGTCAGAGCCTTATCTCCGGAGACGAAGCCGATGCCTTTGGGGATTATTAGCTGGGTGCAGGAGTGAGGGTGGGAACGAGATGGTGCTTACCCTTGTGGTCGACGACGGCAAAGTGAGAGGCGGCGAGATGCTGGAGACCCTCCTCGTCTGTCGAGGCGGGAATCTCGATCTCTGTTGTGGCTGAAGGGTCTTCACCCAACAGGTAGAAGCGTTGTGATGACATTGCGCGTATGTGTGATGTGTGGTGTGGTGTGGATGTCGCACAAGATGGAATGGAAAGTGACGATGCGACCAGATTATGAAGAAATGGTATGAGGTAGTAGATAAGAGACGTATTTACAGCAAACCAAAGGCGGTGCGAGATGGGGATGCCACGAGCTCACGATATATAAGTAATAGGAGGAGCAGAGAAAAAAAAAAGTCGCAATCCCTAAAGGGCACGTACCATCCCACCAGGTCCAGCCAGGCAGATTAACGATGCCGCCCGCAGCTTATCCAATCTGATCCTGGGCAATGGCAACCCGTCGGTGGAAACAGACCGACGAACAGCTCAGACGAGAGAGGGAAAAGTGGCCTGCCGAGGTTCACGTCAAAGTGTCTAGCGGACCAGGGGTGGGTGATGGGAAAGAAGAGTGGGCGGGTCGGCGCCGCGATAGGGGAGTTGATGAGATCATGGGCGCCCAAGTCCGAAGTGCGCGGCGGGCGTGCAGCATTGAATCGGCATCGGCTCCGTGGGCGGCGTGGACTGCGTGGGACAATTTGGAAGGAGTTTGGAACTTGGGTTTGGATCTTGGGAGTTTGGGGGGTGTGGATGGAGACAAGCCGCGGCTCGATGGCATGACAGCGGAACGGAGGCGACACGAAAAGGAAGAGACGAAAAAAAATGGAAGCAAAAATCGGGGCTTTGAAGAAGAACCAGAAGAATTCGCATCGTTTGATAGGGCCAAGCGGGAGACAGGGGCCGACTTAAAGTGGATGATCTGCGCTAACTGCGTGGGTACGTACCGCATGCACCAAAAGTACAGGGCACTGAAAGGTGCCGAGGCGAAGCGAAGAGACAACACAGCGAAAATAGGGGACCACCTTACGAATAGAGCACCGCACCGCGCCTTATCAAATTGCATTGCCATGCCATTGACCCCTTGCTCATGCGATATTTCCGTCTTTTTCTGCAGCCTGCAGCCACAAGGCGGCGTCCCAAGTCCCGAAATCCGTTGCGCCTCGGCTCGTTGCGTGTTTGCCCGTCAGTACCACGTACCTATGCTGTGAGTGCTGTTTATTTGTGCCACCCACGTAATTTAGGGATATTTCAGCCAATGAGAAGCTTCAGCTGCTTCCATGTGGGCTCCCGCTCCCCCTAAGCTTGAAGCTCGCGCCCATCCCACGCTGCGTTGCGCCCTGCATGAACAGACGACAGCACCCAAGATTCGCCCTGAGCCGCCATCTCTTGGCCCGCCGGCAGTCAACCTGTTTACCGCAGCACCGGGCAGATGCGAGGGTGCTGACTCTGTTTTTCTGCCCTCGACACACGTAATTCTGGAGACTTTGGGCTTCGTTTTCGCAATGTGTGCAGTTCACCGTCTGTAAAGGGCAACCATTCGCCGCAGGCCACCGATAAGGCAGAGAGAGAGAGAGAGAGGAACGTAGTGCTGGAGAAACTTGGCATGAAACAGGGCAGAGAGGCCTCGGCCCCTCCGAAGAAAACAGCTCCCAGAAAAAAACACAGGAAATCGTCACCGCCGACACCGCCGCCGCCCGGCATCCAATCCCGTCGCGCCTCTTTGTCAGACGGCCGACCCGTCCGATCGCCGCGGCTTGATCCCGCTCGGTGCCCACACCGTTCCCATCCTTACCTTACTATGTACCTTGGGTTATCCACACCAGCAAAATGCACCTAAATTCGTGACCATTGCGAGGCATTTCAAAGGACGAGAGAACCAAGAGTCCACAGCACTTATCTCGAACCTCGGCATCTTGCCCGCCCACGCCCCCCAGTCTCGGACATTACGCTATCCTATCCCCTACCATCACTGGCACCCTTTCCATGGGTTCCATGGACCAGAAGACACGGACTCGACATG